GTCTGCTACCTATTTCTCCTTATAAAAATAATTTAGGGTTTTCTGTGAAATTCAGGGTGCTGAATGTTTCTTTTAAGATTGGAATCATGAACGACACAAAACCTTTCTCTGAAGTTTTGGATCAAGACTTGTCCTTGGGTATACTTCTGTCTTCATTACTAAGATTCCCTGGATTACTGGAAGTATTTCTATTGTTTTCATCGAACCAGAAGCTCTCATAGTTAGGGTTTAGATGAGAATATTCTGTGTTTCTTTCATAATCAACACATTATCCTATTATTACACTAATGATTCATTAGTGTAGATGTCTTTTGTAGTATCTTGCATAGAAATGGGTTTAACTCTAGCAGAACAATTGTGTTTTTATATCAATGAACTAATAGCAGAGATTTCAACTATAGAAAAAATTAAAAGATGAGGGTAGAGAAAGATCAAACCTTTAAAGTCACTCATTAAGTTACATATTTTGGTTAAGTTCTGAGAATGGTATTATATATTATCCTTTGCCTGGACTTAAGTCCTGTATTTTCTAGAGAGATGAGCAAAATACACATTTAAAGATATATTTATTTATTTTATGTGCATGTGTATGTATAAGTAAGTGTATGTGTGTGCTTCATGTCCCTGCAGGTGTCCAGGAGGGCCGTAAGATCCCCTGGAAGAGGGGTTCCTGAAGATCATATGCAGCAGTGTAGGTGTTGGGAACCAAATCGCAGTCATTAGAAAGAACACCAAGTGCTCTTTTGAGTAACCTCCCCATCCAATGTTTATTACTTTGAAAAGTCTGTTATTTACAATGGGGATTCAAGCTGTGATGTTCTGTTAAACTATACTAGAGAAGATGAATAAACAGCATGAACACAAACCTGTATGAGTAGATGCCTAATAAACATTATGAAATAATAAGAATAGTTTGGAGGAACCATTACCACCTTAACTCAGGGGAAAAAATGGGAGAAAAAGAAGATGGTAGAGAGAAAGAAGAAAAGGAAATTGGAGGTTGTACTTTAAAGAGATGCACAAACAAGTCTATATATCAGTGGGAGGGCCAATAATGGTAAAGCCACATGTGAATTAAGAAATTGATTAAAAGTATTATTTTTTTATTAAGATAACTGTTTCCACTGATAAATCTAGTAGGTCATTCTGTATTTAAAATAATGAAGACTATGGAAAAGTAAGGCATACATGGTCCCAGTTTAAAAGGCTGATGCTAGAGAATTACAGGAACCATGGAATTTGAGGCCAATGGGTAGTGTGGTGAGATCCCATTTCAGGTAAGAAAGGAAGAAAAGAAAGAAAGAAAGAAAGAAAGAAAGAAAGAAAGAAAGAAAGAAAGAAAGAAAGAAAGAGAGGGAGGGAGGGAGACAGTGCAACTGGCCTCAAAAGATATGAGAATTAAATAAATTTACATCTGAGAAGAAGTGATACAAAATCTGTGCAAGTGTTCACTGTTTGTCACTACCACGTGACTGAAGCATGACCTTGGAATGATAAATGGTCCTCTGCAAGAAAAAGTTGACTTAACCACTCAACCATCTCTCCAGTCAGATTTTATTTGATTCTTTGACAACTTCATAAATACATTTATTGAGCCTGGGGCACGCTTTAACTTCCCATTTCCCTCTCTCACCCTTCCCTCTATAATTCCTCTTCCTCCCCCATGTAACCCTCCTACTGGAGACACTTCCCAAGAGTATGCACATTATCAGTCCTTCGCTGACTCTTCTTCTTTACTTTAGCACAATGACCTCAACTTTCATCCACAAGATAGCATGTGCTAAGACTTCTTTATAAAACCGTGAACAAAAGTCTAATGTGAATTATGTATGCATATATATCCATTTTACTTATTCATCTGATAGTCAGATATGGATTGATTTTCTTTTCTTGGCTACTGTAAGCAATGCTGTTTCATGGACTATATTGAAGTCAGAAAATGTGAGGTATGACTTTCTACTCAATACTGCTTTAGGCTTTGGGTTCATACAAATTTGAGAGGATTCTGTACCTTTCTCTCCTTCCCTCAGCCTCCTCCCCATCCCTGCCTGCAGTGTGTAACAATATGATGATATTCATGATGAGAGCACAGATCTTCACCTTGCTTCTTATCTTCTACAGAGTGTCAGAAGTTCCCTGTTGAGAACAATGCTCCTTATGGGCTTACACATATGGTTTCTATATTGAATTAGCCCCTTCCTTTTTCTAGTTAGTGTGTGTGTATTAGTTACTTTCCTATCGCTGTGCTAAAACATCATGATCAGATAAACTATTAGGGAAAAGAACGTATTTAGAGCGTACAGGTCCAGAGGGTCAGCGCCTATGACTATCGTGGCAAGAAGCATGGCAGAAACCTGACAGGCACAGCTGGAGAAGTAGCTAGGAGTTTACATATTGAGACATACCATGAGACAGACAGAGCTAACTGGGAAAGGACTGGGCTTGTGAAACCTCAAGCCCAACCCCCAGTGACACACTTCATCCAACAAGGCCACACTTCCTAATCCTTCCATAGAAGTTCCACCAAATGGGAACAAAGTATTCAAATATTTGAGCCTATCATACTCATTCTCATTCAAAGCACCTTACTCTGTTTCTACGGTGAAAAGGTGTAGTACTTTGTGTGATTTCTTTTTTCCTGCATTTATTGAGATAATCTCAAGGTTTCCATCATTTATTTGTTAATGTGGAGATTTAGACTGCCTGAAATTTATAGGATGGATCATTCCGTTCATTCTTGGTTTGAGAATCTCCCCGGCAAGCAATTTTAAAAGATTAAAAAGATTCCAATTATCTCCCCCACCCACCATGATAGAATTAAATGAGAAACCAATAGAAAAATAAAGGTAGGAATGTTTTTGTAATAGTTTGTTCTTTAAAAGAAAATGGAAGTAAAAACACAGTATTTGAAATGAACGAATGCAATGGAGTCAAACACATGGAAGTAAAGTTGGCCTCGCTGCCATGTTCTCAGGGTGCTGTTGCATTCTCCTTGCTAGCACAGTGGTTAAGCATTTATGCTTCAGTATTCATCAGGGACGCTGGACCACGGTCTTCTTCTCTTGTGTCATCATCTCATGTACACATCAGGGTGATGGTGAGGGCACTGAGTGTGGGAGTATCCTTTTCTCTGTGCTCCTTTGAGAGACTTTGGAAATAATTTAATTCACTTCTAACCGTTTGCTACAATTCTCGGTAAAGCCATGCGGTACGGGTTCTTCTTGGGGGGCATTCTCGTTAAGTCTCCACCCCCGTCGCTAGTTACCTGTGTGCTCAAACTTGCTATTGTTTCCTGGGTCAGTTTTGCAGATTGTGTGCCTCTAGGGATTTATTTCAGTTTGTTGCAATCTAGTCTGTCATAGTACCTTTTACATTGTTTTTTTAATGTTTAAGCCATACATTATATGTTTCCTCCTTCATTTCTAATTTAAGATGTTTAAGTTTTCTCTCTGTTTTTTACTCCTTCCTTCATTTTTATAATTTTGCATTTTGTTGATTCCTCTTTTCCTAGACCATTCAGGGGGAAAATGATGTTGTTTGAGACCTTTATTCTTTTGAGAAACAGTCCCTTTTCCTTTTTTCTTATTTTCACTGCATCCCATTAATTCTGAACTGTTGTGCTTTTAACTTCCATTTACTTCCAGGTGTTTTCTAAACTACTCTGAAATTTCTTCATTATCCACCAGTTGTTCAAGAATGTGTGGTTTAAGTCATATGTGTGTGTGTGTGTTGTGTGTGTGTGTGTGTGTGTGTGTAAACTTTTGTTTTTATTCTGCTGTTTTTTGTTTTTAAATCTATTATGGTAGGGAACATAGTTCAATTTTTAAATCTTTTAAAAATCGATTTTAGCTGGGAGACAAGTCAGTAAGTAAAGCAATTTTTCTTGCAAGCATAAAACGTGTGTTTGAACTCCAGAACTCACATAAAGAGAACAGTGTGGCAGCATGCCCTCCTAACCCTGGAGCAGGAGGTTGAGGCAGGTTTCCTTGGTGCTTTCTTGCCAATCTTTCTAGAATAGTGATGAACTCAAGGCCTGTGTGAGAACCTGTTTCACACTCACAGAAAGGAATAACACTCAAATGTCCCTCTTCACGCCCCCTCTGTGTCTGTGTGTGTGCGCATGTGAGTGCATGCGTGTGTGTGCATGTGCGTGTGTGTGTGTGTGCGCGTGTGTGTGTGTGGTGGGGTTGTAAAGTCATGTTATTTGGCATGACTGAGATTATTTTGGAGATTATGGATGCTGCTGTCACTCAAGCAAGCACTCTGTAGTCCTCCCATGGCTCTAATTGGTCTCTGTAGTGCTGTACGGCTGCTGTTTCTTCACTCACTTTCCCTCTGCTTGATGAGTCGATGGCAGTAATGGACTGATGCTACTGTGCTGCTATTTTTCTTTCTGTGCTCACACCCTTCACTTTGTGGGCTTGGGAGTTTTAATGTCAAGCGCATATGTATTACGGCTATTGTGACTCCACGGTACATGGACTTGCTGTTTTTATGTTTTGAATGTTGAGATAGCTTTTGTTGGATGGATGACCAACTCTGCATTCTTTGGGTCTTCATCTACATATAAAACAACTTTCCCAAATGCTTTGTTCCTACCTGATGTCTGTCCTTAGCTGTATTTCCCCAAAGTACTGCCCTTGAAAACAGCCTGCCAGTCCCTAGATTTGGCACCTGTCAAAACGAAGATTAGGCTACAGTGATTACACAATTATCGTAATTGGCCAACAGAGATTAGAAATTGGTTTATGATCTACAGTGCTAATTTTACTACTATAATTATAACCAATTTAGGAAGTTGTGCCTTACCTGTAAGATGATGATGACATTAAAAGGGGAAGTTGTTCAATGTATCACTAACGGAATACCAAATGCTACCAAGGAAAGACTGAAATGCTGTCTTCAATTAAAAACAAAAATGAAAACCAAAAATAAAATGTATTTTAACTGTGTCCTATATACTCCTTTGATTTACCTCTCACCCCTTTGTTTTCCCTTAGATGTTTTTGGCAGCCCTCTCCTTTGCCTATATAAGCAAGGCACTAGCTGGAGTCATTATGAAAAGTTCCATCACGCAAATAGAAAGGAGATTTGACATCCCATCTTCCTTTGCTGGTTTGATTGATGGAGCATTTGAAATTGGTAATGTTTATTTCTGTTTTACTAACCAGACTTATAGAGGAAAAATACAGTTCAGACATGTTCTATCCCATGTTTCTTAACCATGAATAACTCTGTCCTTCTTGTAAAATATAGCAATATCCGGAGTGTTTTTTGTTGTCCTATCTTGGGAAAATGGTGCCACTGATGTGTAGGAGTTGAAGTCAGTGATACCACTGAATACAGTACAAACTGATTGATAGCCACCTTGAAAAGAAGATTTGGGGAGAATGATTTTACACAAACCCATTGCTTTCACACTAACTCTTGTGAGACTTCACCTTCCCTTTCTCAAGAGAACCACACATGAAGAAAAGTTGGCAGAGTTAGAGCTCCTTTGATTTAAGGAGCACAGAACATCTCGGGACTAATGTGTTGGAATGGTGTTCTTTAACACTTGAGGGGGGTGGTTCTACAGCATGGAAGACGTTACTCTGTTGTCTTCTTCTTCGACACCAAGCTCCATGCAATTACCCAGAGGCATTCTTCTGTTATGAAGCAGCAGAAGGTTATGCCTCTGTGCCTCTCCTTTTATTAATTAAATATATTAATTTATTTTACACCCCAACCACAGTTTCTCCTTCATCTCCTCACATCCTGCCACCTCCTCTCTGTACCCCCCTCTCAAATCCATTCCTTCTCTACTTCTGTTCAGAAAGGGGCAATCCTCCCATGGATGTCAACAAAGCATGGAGTATCAAGTTGAGGTAGGACTAAGATCCTCCCCTCACATTAAGGTTTGTTAGCACAACCCAGTATGAGGAATAGGTTTCCAAAAGTCTGCCAGAGAGTCAGGGACAGGCCCTGCTCTGACTGCTAGGAGTCCCACAAGTGGACCAAGTTATATACTGTTGCACAGATGTAGAGGGTTCAGAGGGTCTCATGCAGAGGGCTTAGGTGAGTCCCATGCAGGCCCCTTAGCTGTCAGTCCAGTGTCTGTGAGCCCCTATGATCCCAGGTTAGTTGTCCATGTGGGATCTCTTGTGATGGCCTTGACCTCCTGGCTTGTATAATCCTTCCTCCCACCTGCAACAGATTCCCCAAGTTTGGCCTAGGGTTTGGCTGTGGATATCTGCTTTTGTCAGTTACTGGATGAAGGCTCTTTGATGACAATAGGTAGTCAACATTCTGATTACAGGAGATGGATAGTACAAACTACATATCTACTATTGCTAAGAGTCTTAACTGGGGTCATCCTTGTAGATTCATGGGAGTTTCCTTTGCACCAGGTTTCTACAAGGCCCCGAAATGCACCCCCATCAAGACAGCTCTTTCATGACTCTCCTCTCACTCATCACCAACCTGGTCCCTCATTTTCCCATCCCCACCGGTCCCCAGCTTACTCAGGTGATGTGTTTTATTGTCCTTTCCCAGACAAATCCACCCATTTCTCTTTGGTCCCTCCCTGTTATCCACCCTCTCTGGAGCTGTGGATTGTAGTCTAGTTACCCTTTCCTTTACGGCTAATATCCGCTTATCAGTGAATGCATTCCATGTTTGTCTGTCTGGGTCTAGGTTACCTTAATAAGGATTTTTTTTTCCTAAACCCATCCATTTACCTTCCAATTTCTCGATGCCATTGTTTTTAACAGCTGAGTGTTTTTTTTTTTAACTATTTAATTTTTTGAGGGAGCTAGACAACTATGTCTATTTCCTATAAATTTGATGGCCATTTAAAAAATCTTGACCTAGGACATATTTAACAGTGTTTTAAAAGTTATTACATGAAGGGACATCTATCTGTTTTTCCTTATGAATTCTGAAGTTTTGTGATGTAAAATATGTTTGAATAGTATGTATCTTTCAGTATTCCACTTGCCTGTCTCTTAGAAATCCTTGCATATGTGTGTTTCTACATACATACATACGTACATTTGTGAAGATGTTCTCAGAGGTTAGAAGGCAGGATGTTATATGCTGGAGCTGGAGTTACAGGCATTCATGAGCTATTCAACATGGTTACTGGGAACCAAACACAGGTCCTCTACAAGACAGCAAGTGCTCTCAGGCAGTCAGCCATATCTCCAGCCCCCACTTCAATGTCTCCATGGAAGCAGCTACAGTTTCACAATTAGAATGACATTGATTTTCAATTTTCTTTACACATGTTTCTTCACCTACAGGATTCTTGAATCTGTGATTCCAAAATATAATATTTATTTTTTTATTATATTTCTGACCATTAAGAACTGTATGAGCCCCCATACAAGGCAGCTCTGAGCCTTGAGAACTAAGGAATCATTGCTCTAAATGTTCAGTTTACAGGTTGTTGTTCTTAGCTGTGAGCACTGAAAGCCCAGTACTGGCAGGTGGCCTCACCCTGTAACCTCCTGGCATCAACACCCTTGGGTGGCTATGTAGGTCTCCTCTGTTGGCTGTTTCCTGTTCTATCTTCTCTTGTCTTTCATTTTATATAATTAAAATGTATACATTTTCTATTTTTATTCTTAGTTTGCCATTTTTGATCTTCTGAATCAATAATATTATACCTGTAAGGACACTGTTTTCCCAGTCTGTCCTCTTTCCAGTTAATTCTGTTTTACTTCATGCATTTTTTTTTTTTGCTGGTTCTTTTTTTGTAATTTTGTGTTGTATCTTTACTCATCAATCAACCTAACAAAGGGCTAAGTGTTTTCTCTGTTTATACTGTCTGGGTCCTTCCATTCTACCAGATACATCGACCATCAGCATTTGCTGTGATGAATCAAACTGACATAACTTGGTTTCATTATAGGGAATTTGCTGGTTATTATATTTGTGAGTTACTTTGGATCCAAACTACACAGACCAAAGTTGATTGGAATTGGTTGTTTCATCATGGGCCTTGGAAGTATTTTTACTGCCATGCCACATTTCTTCATGGAATAGTAAGTATGGGACACATGCGACTTTCCCACTGACTTGTAACGTGATGATGGGGTTTCATGTCTCTTTCCCTTTAGAGAAATGTAAAGGACTTCATGCATGTGCACAATGAAATATAAACACATGTACTCACATTTCCCACCAGCTCTTTCTGCATCCTCATACACCCTTCCCCTGTGTGTCTCCTTACTCATCTCCATGCTTCTTCTCATCCTCATTCTAAGCTTGGTTTTATAACCCTCTACGTTCAATTAGTACATGGTTATAATTAGTACATGGGCACAGGGCCTTCCACTGCAGCATGGTCTCATTAGTAATGGCCACAATATCAAAGTGGAATAATTCTCTCTTCCCCAGAAGCTCTCCATGGTTGCTCTCTCCCTGGTAACAGCTGGGGCCTGGAGGTCATTTAGCCAATCCATGAAGGAATTATAACTGGCTTGATCTTGTGCTGAGTAGAGACTGATTGCTCAGCCCAAAAAGGGACTAAAGAGAGAACAGTGGATGCTGGGATACCAGGATCCATTACACACACACACACACACACACACACACACACACACACACACACACACGTGTGCATGTGCACACACACACAATTATTTAATCTTTGTCACACGTGACATTCACATGTCACCATATTAACACCATATTCATACATTTGACCCTTTCTGATTTTCAGCATTTTACTCTTTCAACTTATTTGTCTATGTGTGGCCTCTTCATTATTCCCACACTCGACTTTCTGGTCTAGTACTGAAATATCCACATGTCTGTTGCCCCATCATTAGTCTACAATCCCTGTAATAATTCGTATGAAATATGCTTTAAATCTAGTCACTATTCCCATTGGGTGACTATTCCTCATATTTGGTGTTTACTTACCTGTTCACCATGTCCATATCTCCACGGAGCATTTCAAAGGCTTTTCCATCCATGTATCACAACCCGAGCTTTCCATTTTTTTTTTTTTGCCTGTTCCTGCTTATTTTCATATCTGTTTATTCAGCCATTGTACTTATGATTGCAAAGGAATTCAGGTCAAAGTCAGGGAATTAATCCTAAGACCCAGATTTACTGCAATACAGATAACCAGCATTTCCCAAGACCTTACTTATTTTACATTCTTTTGTCAAGGTGGACATCAATGTCCTTATCTTAGCTGAAGCCAATAATCTGGAAGTCTTGCCTTCAGTTTCAGTCCTGCTATTTTGTAAAGACTTATTTATTATTTTTATTTCATGTGTATAAGTGTTACGTGTCTGTGCATGTGTGTGCACCATACACACATGGGGCTTGTGGAAGACAGAAGGAGGCATTGGATCCTCTGGAACTGGAGTCTGCTGATGTGGGTGCTGGAAACCGGACTGGGATCCTTAGGAAGATCCATCTGTGTTCTTCACTGCTGACCCATCTCTTCAGCCCCTCCACTCTATTTTAACTCACATTCTGTGCAATAATACACTTCTAAAATACAAATATAACTTCCCCAATTTTGCTTTAAAAATTTTTTAGAACAGTTTTTTTAGAACAGATTTTCAAAATACAGATCCCAGTTTATCAGTAGAACAGCAAATAAAACACCTTCGGGTTATTGAGACCACCATGTATTGTTAGATAGACTTGAACAATATAAAACAGTTGCAGGGACAAATTCTGTCCTTCAATGCATCATTCCAAGCTATACAGATATTTGTAAGTGTGCATATAGATGGTAGTAGGTATACAAAATGCAATAATTACAAGTAACAATCAAAAATATTGAAAGCTCTCACCTGTGCATTAATCATATCTAAACTTGCATGTCAATCCATGTTCACTGACTATGTCCTTTCCTGTCCTAGACTCAATTTCCACTGTTCCCTCCAGTTGCCAAATGCTAAAAGTGCAATTCTCCACACGTGAAAATGCTTCACAGTCATATGAAGTGGATCTACAGCCCTGTGTACTGTCCTCTGGAGTCTGTCTCTTAAACTCTTTCTCATCACTAGTTTCATCTCACACATTCTATACACAGCAAAGTCTCCAAATATTCACCCTATTCCCAACCTTGAAGCAAAAGCTAATGATCTATTTTTCCTTCACGACAACTCGGACCTTGGACACTGAATTTACATGTTAGAGAGGATGAAAGTCCTTATGTACAAACACTGTGCATTTTGAGTCTAGGTTTAAAGTGGAGTAGAATGCTTGGCATGCACTGGGCTTTCCAGCATAGAGGTACAGGATGCATATGTATTTCCTGAATTCCAGCATATGCCCCTATTCTGACTCCATGCTCTTTGGTGCTATTACATAGTCCCTGGTCAAGTTGAAGTGAATTAATTTTACTAAAGTTTCAGAGTCAGACATTTAGCTCATGTGTGCATGTACATCCATAACAGAAAATTGCATGTCTTGATAGAAAAGGTTGATGGATTAGCATGTACTAAAGACTGATGTAAAAACGTGTTTCTCTAGCTTATTAAATATAATTCATGAGGAAGTTTATATTACTGTCATCTTTAAAGATAATTCAGAAACACTATTACACTCAGCAGTTTAAAAAACAAAATGGGGAATCCAGGATTTTTTCCATCATAGCCAAAGTATTCTCTGTCCTAGGCTGCATCAAAATGGTCATCCACCTTACTTGAGTGACACTAAGGAAATTACTTACTGGGTTCACCCCCATTTTAATATTACCAATCATTTATCCTAAAATTGAAGCTAGAAAGTTATCGGGGAGTTCTCTTTAACCTGGAGAAGAGAAATATATATATTTACATATATATACATATATATATATATATAATTAAAATGGAAATAGTTTCTTAAAAAAGTGGAAATAGTTGGTAAATAAAATGTTAACTCTAGTGGTGCCCCTATAGTTACAGGTACTCATCAGAGGATGACATCAACTCTCTAAGAAACTCCACATGGATATGTTTAGCAAATCAAACTACATCACTCACTGGAGCCTCACCTGAGATAGTGGGGAAAGGTAAGAATTAATAATAACAGTAGATACCATTGAAACCATATATCTATTTATCTAAATAGATAGATAGATATATGCACACATGCATATATATATTCTATACAAATTCCTATAATATATATATATATATATTCTATACAAATTCCTATAAAATATATCAGCATAAAAATTGACTAAAACCAAAAACCAATTGAATTGACCTGGATATACAGACATAATCAAAGTGTGAACATGTAATACAGAATGAGCCTTTAGAAGTGTCAGAGGAGTGACTAAGATCTGTTTTATTTGGAAATTGGGAAAGAACATTTGCAGCAAATAAAATCCTCAAGGATTGACTACGTAAATGTTTGTATTTAGAGAACACAGTTGAACCAGGAGGACTGTGGCTTTGAGGTAAACCTGAGCCATATAGTATGACCCTGTCTCAACAAACAACCCAAGCAAGAAACCATAAATATGGAAATAAGGGAGAAGTGGTTCATGACAACTGTAATTACTCCAATTGAAGATTTCTCAAAGTATTCTGATATGACATATATATGTATGTATGTATGCATATATATACATCTCACCCTCTCTATATAAGACTATATATATATTTATATATACATGCATACACACACACACAAATATATATATATCACTCTAGATCATTCTATATATTATATCAGATATGGAAAGATTAAAACTAAAATGAATGAGAAGTCAATTCTTTTTCATTATTTTGTATTGTTGAGATATGTAAATTCATCACTGCTTTAAGGAGTTATAATTGATGAGATGATTAAGGACTTATTTATAATGGTATCTAAGACATCTCTTGGTGACAGAAGGAAAAATCTGAAGTATTTTAGAATTATAAATATGATATTAGGGACTGAAAAGTTGGCTGAGCCATTAAGAGCATTGGTTCAATTCCCAGCAGCCACATGGCATCTTGCAATCCTATGCTAAGGGAAACAACATCTTCTTATGGTCTCTGAGGGCACTGAATAAATGTGGTGCACATACACATGCAGGCAAAATATACATATGTGTGTATGTATGTGTGTGTGTGTGTATAAAACATTATTAAAATCTTGACACAAAACACAACAAAGGGAAAATAAACAGGGAAATTGTCCTATCACAGTGTTAGGTATAAAAGTGATATAGACAAACCAGATACTTAATTCTTTATTATATATATATATATATATATATATATATATATATATATATAATTGTGTATGTCCAAAATATGGATCATGAATTATTATTAACATTACATGAGTTTCTTTGTGCAGAGAGATTTCAAATAATGCTGGCTTTCTGTATGTTTCTCATTATTTACTTTTTGTCTTTTTTGCATTTTAAAACATTGCAGATTGAGTAGGAATCAATTAAAATTTTAAAAAGAAAGCACAAGGGACTGCCATACCCCGGGAACAATTAATAGTCTGAATTTGTGGAGTTTCTGGTATTGGTACTGTAATCAATGTTTAAAATACATCACATATTTTGTCTACACAGACTGTGAAAAGGTATCCAAGTCACGCATGTGGATTTTTGTGTTGATGGCAAACATGCTTCGTGGGATAGGGGAAACACCAATAGTGCCCCTGGGAGTTTCCTTTATTGATGACTTTGCAACAGAAGGGCACTCTTCTGTGTATTTAGGTAATGTATAGAACATAAGACATTCACTCCTTAATTTCCCTAGGTCTAACTCTGAAATGGTAGCATACTACGTTAATTTTTTCAGTTCTTTTCTCTTCCTTTAAAAGAGCAGCCAACACTCTTCACCATTGAGCTATCTTTCCAGTTCCCTAAATAAATCCATAACCCTAAAACAGATTGGAGAAAAGCATTGTGTAGCATTAGATTTTAAAACCTCATGTATAAAGAAACAAATATAAGTTCAAGGTGGGCAAAATCCAAGTATGGAGACAGGAGGTGGGCAAATGTCTCTTCCCTGTCTAAGGATCTATTGTGGATGATAGGTACAGAAATTATTCTTTAAATACTGTGGCCTGAGATGGATTGACCATGGTGTGATGGAGGCCACAGCCATGAACATACAGGGGCACAAGCTATATTTGATGAAATTTACAAAAGGAAAAGGCACAAATTTGGATGAGCAAGGAAATGGCCTGAGTAGAAGAAACAGTGAACATGAACAAACATTTTTTGGGTGAGGGAAAAAAAATCACCATGTGTACTTGGACTCTGACTGAATGATTTGGAAATGTTTGCAGGTATTCTGAATACAGTAGCAATGATTGGTCCAATCATTGGCTTTCTCATGACATCTGTGTTTGCTCGGATGTATGTTGACATTGGATACGTAGACATGAGTAAGTAGAATCAATAAGTGGACCAGAAGAGTGTCTTTCAAATACCAGCCACCATGCTTCCAAGTAAATGTTTAACTTTTTCAATAGATCTTTGATTTTATGTTTTAGATATTGTAAGTGGAGAGGATACATTCATATTTTAAAATAAAGTTTACCCCCTTGCCTATGCCAAGATTCTTCTGCAAGTCAGTATAAAATAGAACATTTGGAACTATCGTATTTTAGGCAGCTAGATCAAAAGCAAACCGGTTAAACAGTCAAATCAGGTACACTTTTACTTGGTGGAAGATTGGGTTTAGAAACACAGGGATTACAGATTAAAGCTTCAGAAGATCCTGTGTGGTTGAGTTTTTTGTGAATGTTTGGAGGGCATTCAGCATCTCCATCATGTGTCTTTGCTCTCCCTGGTCCTGGCATAGGATTTGGCATATGGTCCCTTTCAATTAGAGGATGAAGGAATGCACACTATGTAATCCCTATAGCCATTCTCCTCTCTCAAAGCAAGCTTTCCTTCACAATTCAGAGAAACTGGCCAAAGTGTAGAAAATCTCTCAAAACCCTCCTTCCAGTAAATATTGATGGGGAATGCTCTTCTGTATCTATGTTTATCTTATTGGTTGATAAATAAAACACTGATTGGCCAGGCAGGATGATAGGTAGGACTAGGAAACAAGGAGGATTCTGGGAAGCATAGGCAGAGAGGAGTTGTCCTATGATCCCAGGAACTGATGTAACTGGGCAGAATCAGACAGGAAATTGCTGTCTTCTCTTCTCTGTGGAGATGCTGAGCCAGCCATTTAGCAGGTGAATAAATTACAGGTCTGGAAAGCCAAGACCACGTGGAAATACATGGATTAGTAATTATGGCTTAATAATTAAGTCAGAGCTAGCCAATAAGAAATGCTACTCACTGGCATCAGTTTCATAATTAATATAGTCTCATGTGCTTCTTTGGGGAAAGGCAGCTGCAGAACCGGACAGGAAAACCCACAATGAAATATCACATCTATCTTCTTCACATTTCTCATCTTTCCCCCTAAAAGTCAATAAAAACTTTATCTACCTTGAGCTCATATTTGATTTCTCCACCCTGCATCTTCAAGGTCTTGTCCCATGACCTTCCACTAGATTCCTCCCTGGCTATCTTTAATCCTCCACCTCAATTCTGTCTTTGTCACAAAATGCTCCCCACTCTATACAGTCTTTTACAAATGTGCTGTTTTCATGCCTTCAAACAACTTTGAAGATAGTTTTCTGTTTAACTTCCTCTTCATAGTCAAGATCTCGAAAAAGAAAAATCTGACTTTGGAAGATTTCTCACTTATCTCCCCATCCACTTCTCAGATGCAATCTGATTCCTCTGGCTCATGAGACAGAATCAACTAACATTTTTTTTTCACTTTTTCTATTTTTACATGTCTAAATAAACACCTAAACTTCAATCTAGGAAATGCTGTGTCCACAACCCATTCTTAAATCTTATATTGTTTCCCCTATTCCTTCTCTTTATGAATACCTTAACCTTAACTTTGTTATTCACTGAATCATCACATCATCTTCTTTCCTCTTGGCCTTACCTCAGGGCAAGCCATTCTAATATAAGAAAACTATATACAATACAATCAGTATAATAACTATATGCAATATATACAGGCAAAAAGTACATTAACAACGTCTAATCCATTAGCATTTTAAAAATTCAGAGGAAATATTCCATATATATTCTTTCTTGATGAGTCCAAAGTCTTGTACCTAATTTACTTTCTATCCCAATTTGCATTATCAAATTTCCTTTTAGTGTTTTTCAAACCTATTATACTTAACACATCTTTATTGAATTTCTTTACTGAGTTTGGTAAACAAAGAAGTCTATAACTATACTACCTAGTAGTCTTCCTCTCTCTCAGAAACCAGAGAAGGTAATAATATTAACTGAGTAAACAGGAAGTATGAGCAAGCGACTTCCAAAAAGATCAAGTAATGACAGATACAGCTTGCTGCCTGAACAGACACCCAAGGTTGCTTTACAATGTTGGGGCATCCATCTTTGGCCTACAGGCCTAGAATATCTAACAGTCATTTCTGTGAAGCAGGATAATCTGAAGGACTAGACTGCTTTGTCTTGGCAAGGTTTGCATCTACTCTTTTTGGTATCCTGTTTGTCCAATTTGCATAACATACTGTCAGAAATTGAGGCAAGGGCACTTTTTTTACCCAGTGGCTTATATTTGCCACAAACAAAGTAAATTCCACATGGAGTTTCTTTGATAGCCATCATGTTCTCTGACATAGATTTGTACTGTGAGGAGAAGACACGTCTCAATGTCATAACAAAAAGAGATTATGTTATTAATACATGTTAAATGCTATATCTATAGATCTCTGAAGTGTTTGAAGATGACCTGTCTTTCTAAATATCTTTTTGACGTTGTAAACATACCTAAGTTCGATTGTAATAGTTGACTACCAAACCATATTTCCTTGTTATTCCATATAGTTGATAATAATAATTTTCAAGGACTAGATATTTGTAATGAATTGTTAAATGAGCTATGTGGTGATATTTTGTTTGTGGTTTTATTAAAGCTTGCCTTAGGATTCAGAAAGCAAAGTCAGACAAAACTCATAGAATTCAGGCACACCTTTAAAATCGGCAGCCGGATGCTAGGAGGGAAATTTTTCCCTGTCTTTTTTTTGTAAAGCTACAGTGAATAAGCAGTATTTTAAGTCAATAACTGTAATAGGCCATTCTTTAAATAACAGAGAAGGCAAAGGTATTCATGCTGTAGAGAGTCCATTGGCTGAATTACTTTATTAATGACTCTCAAGTCTGTAAGTATTCTCTACTTTCCTGATTTCTTTTACTAACAAATACAGAAGAATTCCAAGTAGTAGATTCTTCAATATGTCCAGAACTTGTCTGTTCCTGAACCAGCAGTTCTAGAGTCTGTAACTTCTCTGAAGTCATAGGCCATTGCCCTACACTGACAGGATTGTCATTTAACCTCTTTAAGGGTAGGGCTTTTAGTCCCTCTATGAGTTTAAAATTTGTTTTATTCTGTTTGTGTACAGCCTGGATGTTTTATAACATTTTTCCCATAAACATAAGTTGGTTTATGGTTCATTTTTGATACTGGAGGGCTGTTAATCTGGTTATTCTATTGCTGCAACAGATCACAACCCCATAGATTTACTGCTATGTTAGCCACATATGGTCTCAGCCCTCCTCTTTGCTCTTTTGGCCATATACATTCAATCCATCTTGTCCTTTGTTTTTATCTGCGATAGTGTTCTAATTCCTAAGAACTGAGCATTTACATCATGAAGAGGCTAACTTTGATGCCAAGATTCTAGTGTGATAATGGCGATGTCTGTACCAGTATGACATTATTCATTTGCACTCTTAGTTTTGGTCTTTGGTAATTTATAGAAGTCTGCCAAAATATATGTTTTCTTTTTCCTCTATGAATTTTTGATTCATCCTATAAAGCTATTCTACCATTCAGAGCAACATGAGTTTTTACAATAAACACAGGATTTCCTAATTATTCTGGGGAGGATTGCCCTCCACAGTAACTTGGAGTGTCTGGACCAATTTTGACATGGGGCCCTTCAAGAGGCCTCCCACAGTGTTTCCCGATGGTAAAGTGTTGCCTTGTTTGTCTCTTGTCGATCTACATTTTTGTTCCAATACATAATCTATTTGGGTTATTCTCAGAAGAAGAATTATTTTTTAGGAATGTCTTATTTACAATTTCTTCTCAGATAGCCTATCCTACCACAATTAAAATATTTAATAGTTTGATGTTTCCTCATACCTTTGGAGATCACTTCCACCTAAGCCTCAATGTTATGTCAAAAGACTCAACAACTTTGACTTTGATCACTGCACATTCACTTTACTTATATCCAAGTGCTAACATATTTCATCTTTTTTCATCTTGCTGTGTCCACAATTTCTATGCCTCATGCTCAGACCCACATGGCAGTGTCATCTGTTAGGCCTCAACATTGGGTAGCATCTGTGAGTTGCCTAGGGAAACTGGGATTAATACTTTATTTAAGAATTTCACTAAGGGGCTCGAGATCCCTGATAGACAACTTTAAATATGGTTGTATCAACTGACTGAATATATCCCAATAATTTTTGAAAATCATTTAAAGCATGTAAGCTATCTTTCTTTTAAAGATAAAATAATATAATCTATCCTGTGTCAGAAAGACAAGCATTAATTAATTAAATTAAGTAGGAGAAATTGTCAGGTCCATAGAGGTGGCTCCATTCCATACCAACTTAAGGCCAAAGAATTAAAGACTATCCTTGCTCTTTCAAGGGTAAAGGCCTAAGATGGAAAGGTATAAGGTGTGGCTACTTAATGATGTTTGCCCTAAGGTGTGAATATCTACCTAGATCACAGAGTACATGATCTAAAGTTACTAGAACACCTGATTTTTGATGAAGAAGTAAAAATTGTATAATGAAAAAAGAAAAACCTCTTTAACAAATGGTGCTGGTATAACTGGATTTTAACATGCAGAAGATTGTAAATAGATTCATATGCATCATCATGCATAAAAGTAAAATCTAAGGACCTGAATATAAAACTAGTGTCATTGGACCTAATAGAACAGAATTTTGAAAGTAGACTGGAATACATTGGGACAGGAGACTACTTCCTAAATTTAATACTAGTAGCACAGACACTGAAAGCAGCAATCAATAAATGGGACCTCCTGAAACTGAAAACCTTCTGTAAGTCAAAGGACACTGTCAATAAGACAAAATGTCAGACTACAGAATGGGAAGAGACCTTCACCAACTCCACATTTGACAGAGGGTTGATCTCCAAAATTTACCAATTACTCAAGAAAGTAGACATCAAAATAAAAACTAACAAAACTGAAAAATAGGGTACAGAACTAAACAGAGAATTCTTACCAGAAGAATCTCAAATGGTCAAAAGACATTTAAGGAAGTACTCAACATCCTTAATCATCAGGGAAATGCAAATCAAAATGATTATGAGATACCATGCCTACTCTTGCTTTGGGTTGGGGTTTATAAGCATTTTGAGCAATAAACTTAAGGTGGTTTTCAGTATTCACTGGGATGTCCTCCCAACTCCTTCTGTCTCTAGCCTGTTTCTTTACTCAATCCATATTCCCCCTCTTAGTATGGACTAGGCAAGTCATCAGGTCCCAACAGATGTCTCTCAACACAGAGAACCCAAGGTATTGTATTAGAATTCTTGGGAATTAAACGGCTACAAATGAATTCAGATTCCTGCATCTCCATTCTTTCAGTAATGAGAGAAATAAATTTTACATGTTTTTGCCTCTGTGGTTAACTTTTGATGCATTAAAAGTAAGACTATTTTAATCCTTTTGTTTTCTGGTAGTTCTTTGGTAGTATAGAAAGCTTTTTTTCCTTGTAACTTTGTATATAACAACTTCACAACAAAAATGACACCACAGCTAGTGTGACCAAGAGTATTGCTTCTTGGTGTCTGTGCCAGTGTAGTGTAGTGCTGGTCATGTTGAATGAGTCTGGGGATATCTCCTCCTCATGAGTGCTTAGAAAGATTTTGAGAAGTAGTAGTTCAGTTTTTCTGAGAGCTAGAGTACTCCAGTGAAGTCTTCTGTCCCTGGGCTCTTTTCTTTTCCCTGTGCCTTTGCTCCAATGTTCTCCCTAGCCACACAAATGTTTATAGAGTTTCCATCGACTCAAGATCCTGCTTTTGCAGGTTGTATGTCTTTAGGTTCCTCATCTCTTAATGACATCAACTGTGGTGATTTGAAAGTAAATGGCTCCCATGAGCCCATTGGGAGTGGCACTGTTGGGAGTTGTGGCCTTGTTAGAGTAGGTGTAGCTTTGTTGGAGGAAGTACATCAGTAGGGGATGGGCCTTGAGATCTCAGAAACTCAAAAACAGGCCTAGTGGCTCACCATCATTTTTTCCTGCTGCCTGCTGGCCGGGATGTGGGACTCTTAGCTTCTCCAGCGCCATGTCTGCATGCATGCTGTAAGGCTCCCACCATTATGACAGTGACTAAATGTCAGAAGCTATTAGCCAGCCCCAATGATTTTTTTTTAAATAAGAGGTTATATGTTTGTGGTGTGTCTTTACAGCAATAAGCCCCTAACTAAGACATCAGCTGACTGACATTCATCATTCACAGGGGTGTCAGCCGATGACTAGCATTAACACATCACTCTACTTCACACTGCACAGAAGCACAATTGAAATAACATGGATAAATGGTGCCTCATGTTTGTAATACATCTTTTCTGGGTTCTTCTGAAACTCAGATTTTTCACTGCCTTACTTTCTCATCACATTTTTTTTTGTTGTCAATAGGGCTGCATATGCAGCAATTAGACATACCAGAACGGAGCCTTCCATTCCTTGGAAATATTAAGCTCTCTGGTGCTATCCAGTTCTCAGCAGATGGTACCAACATCTGTTTTCAGATGACAATTTGTTTTCATGCCCTGCCGTCCTGCCTTTGTTTTCAAGTCATCTTTGAGATCAGATACTTAACAAGAGCAAAACAGAAGCCAGGCGTTGGTGGCGCACACCTTAAATCCCAGCACTGAGGAGGCAGAGGCAGACAGATCTCTGTGAGTTTGAGGATAGCCTGGTCTACAGTGGGAGTTCCAGGACAGCCTCCAAAACCTCAGAGAAACTCTGTCTTGAAAAAAACAAACTAAACCAAACCAAATCAAACAAAGGAAAACAACAACAACAAGCCAACCAACCAACCAAACAAACAAACAAACAAAAAAGGGATTAAACACTTAATTCTCCAATTACAACTGAGTCTGCATTGTGACAAGCTGTAATACTTTGGCAGGTTCCTGGCAACAGAAGCTGTAAGATGTCATCAAATGGTTCTAAGTTGAAAAAATACTAAAAAGAGATTTTAAGATTGATGAAATATAGTTTGTTTTCTTCATATGTGGATGCCAGTAGTCATTATCAATATTGTCTTTTAGTATGATTTATGACTTCCCTGTTCTAATTATTAATTCCAGGAAATATCAGAATAACTCCCTTGGATGCTCGTTGGGTCGGTGCCTGGTGGCTCAGTTTCATTGTGTCTGGAATATTTTCCATTATTTCTTCTATACCCTTCTTTTTTCTACCCAAAATTCCAAATACATCACAGAGAGAAAGGAAAAATTCAGCATCTCTGAATGTACTCAAGACAGATGAAGGAAAGAATCACATGACTAATTTGGTGAAACAGGAGAAAAAAGCTGCTGTCGACATGACCGGTAAGGATTTCACCATCAATGTGAAGATGTTAATCCCACTGAAAGCTAAGAATATTTGAAAACAAAGTGTCCAAATTATCTATCTCACTTTCTTTTGCACTAAACTTTGCTTAACTCATTCTAAATTTCCTATTAAAATTAATATTTCCTGACTTTTCTATTGCTATGAATAGACACCATGTGGGAAGTGATAAAGACACTCACTCTTGTCTTCCCCTGGTCTCCCTGAGCACGGAGCAGAAAACAGTCATGCTAACCTTTGCACAGGTGTGTGTGTTTGTGTGTGTGTGTGTGTGTGTGTGTGTGTGTGTGTGTGTGTACTCATATAACACACAGGCACACACCAAATAAATAAAAGAAAACAATCACAGAAACAATTACATTTATTGTTTTTTTCTTTTTCGTTTACTTTGATTTTGAGATAGGGTTTCTATGTATAACATCCCTGGCTGTCCTGGAACTTTCTCTGTAGACCAGAGTGGCCTTGAACTCTCTGAGATCCACCTGCCTCTGCTTCCTGAATGCTGGGATAAAAGGCATGCACAAGAAGGTATATATTTCTTTCATGTGACTTTAAACAAAAAGGTATGTATTTCTTTCAAATGATCTCTCATCCATCCATCCATCCATCCATCCATCCACCGACCTACGTACCTATCTATTTGTAACATATAAAGTAAAAGACCCAGAGAATATTTGGGTTCAAAATTCAAGCTGAATATCAAAAAAAGCAAAGCAGTCCAATACTAGCTCTCACCTCTAGCTCAGGCTGAAAGGGCTGATCCACCCATGAACTTTTCACCAAGCCTCAAACTGCTGCCTTTCCTCAACATGGCTGGAGAATGAATGCCTCTATTGAGACCTTGCTTCTGTCTTATATACTTCCCTAATGTTGGGATAAAGGTGTGAGCTATAATTTTCTTTTTGACTGATTGATTCACTCTTGTGTAGATCTGGGTGACCTTGGAGATCTGGGTGACCTTGGATCACAGAGAACTGTCTATATCTTAGTCCTGAGTTCTAGCATTAATGGTGTGCACCACCACCTACTACTAGATTCTGGATACTCAGATTAAATGTGACTTGATACTGCCCATGATATGAGAATTATCACCATTTTCTTTTTTTAGCTATGAAAATTGGGAAATACTGGATAACCAAGTTTGATTGGTTTTCCAAGAGTAAGTTGTTAGAAAACAAAAATAATGGTATTGTTTTGTTGTTATTTTTTGGTAAAGAATTTAATTCATATTTTTGTGCATGCTAGGTAAGGGTTCTAAGCCCAAAGGTTTTGACACTTAGCACAGATATTAAAAAGAGCATGTTGCTGGGCACTGCTGGGACAGCTCAGTGACTTAGAGCACTTGCTGCTCTTGTAGAGGTCCCAAATTAGCTTCTCAGCGCCTTCATTCTGGTTCATAACTATCTGTAACTCTAGCTCAAGGGGCTCCAATGCCCTTTCATACATAAACATATATACATATGCATACATAAGCAAAATTGTTTTTTGTTCTTTAAAGTATATCAAGAAATTTTAAACCAGGCATAGTGACACATGGCTCAAACCCCAGCATACGGAAGGTATAGGTGAGTTTCTTAATGTTCCTGTGTTAATGTGGCCTGGTACTCATTGCTATCCTCTGCTTCATGTTATTTTTATTCTATGGTATGTGGTTTCAATGCTACCTTGTTTGTTGGGATAGTGCCTTACAGAAAAAGTTGCATTCTAGGGAACAAATTATCGGAACCCACATAGTAAATTTTTGGTTTACAGTTTTGAACATCAGTGTTCTTATTCCTGTGGTCACAGATTACTTAACTTTCTGTTTAGCAAATTGCTTCATTTACATAAAAATCACATTACGACATGCTGACAAATAGGAAACATCACACAAGAGATTCATATTTCAGGATATGTCCTGGAACACAATTCGAAACCAAAATTTTTTTGAATGGACAGTTGAATTGATTGAAAGGCATGAAAGACTAAAAATGTGAAGAACTGTCAAATATCCATTGGACAAAGCAAATCACAAAAGAGAAGAGACAAAAAATTAGTTTCAACAGAAAAAACTTACAACATACATGATATGAATATGGAAATTATTGAAGAAATACATTCACAAATTTGTTTAGAACAAGACTTAAGGACACTCCCTAACTTCCTGTTCTATGTATTTATAATTTTAAATCACACCTATGGTAACTAGATTGAGATGTAAGTAATGTTTTAATTGTATTACAATGTTTTCTTAAATCTTGTTACTTAAAGGTTTCCTATACTCTCTGAAAAGCATCCTTACCAACAAGCTATATGTCATATTCTTGGTGCTGACATTGCTACAAATCAGCAGCTTTATTGGCTCCTTTACTTACATCTTCAAGTTTGTAGAGCAACAGTTCAGCAAGTCGGCATCACAGGCCAACTTTGCATTAGGTAAGGCAGACTTTTCCCTGGTTTGTGTCATAGACGACATAGAAACTGGTGATATGACTGCTCCATGGTATAGTTAAGCAGAAGGTGTTTACTCTAGATGTGGGAGAGAACAGCCAGAGGCATCTGGCCGAGTCCAGAGAAGAGAGAGAAAGCCAGGTGACTGGACTTGGCCAGAGATATCTATGGAGAGGTGAAAAATGCCAGGGGATAGAGAATAAAGGGGGGAAAGGAGAGAAATGGGGAAATAGCACAAAGAGGAAGCAAGGAGAAGGACGGGGTAAGGTTATATCAAAAACAAGGAGCATGAGTAGCTTTGTGACGCAAGACCACTCTCCAGAAGTTTAGCGTAGGGGATGGGGTGAGAACGGCTAGAACTAACTAGCATGGACTTTGAATGTATAAGGGAAGGCTGTGATACTGGGGAACGTGGAGGCTAGTAAGACCTTGGTATGCTAATGAGCACCTCATGTAGCCAGTCATATATGTCCCTCAGTGATATGTCCCCCATATGTCTGTCAGTGATAAAGGAAATGACTCCTCTTCATAGAGGGGAGCCAGCACAAGTTTCTTCGGATTGCTCGCTTTTATCTATAGAAAACCTCCTATAATCCAGGCTGAGCCTATTTCTGGACATTTGGAAAGTCGTTTGGAGCATGGGGAATTACAGTTCCCTTTGGACCTGACAGGTAGTGCAGTGACGAAGGAAGCTGACCCCTGGACATCTGTATCCACATCCACCCCACCCATGCAGACACACATATATACACACTTTATAAAAAAATAATGAAATAATCACAAACTTCGCAAAAGATTTCAGATGGTGAAGTTTAAAAATATTGTCCTTATTGATTTCTAGGGTGGGGTATCCCTCATAAAATTCACCTTTACAAAGACAACATCTGACTTCTGTTACTAGTAAATGAGGAAGGAAGACTTTTTTTTTTTTTTTTAGTTTTCTACATAGGGCATGGTCTTCCCTCTCCATTCTGATCATTCATTTCTGTGTAAGAAACAACGAAGTTGAAGGGTTTATATAGATACACTGTATTTCATATGTAAAGACCACAGGTAAACCTTACATAATGACAACATTTTTCTTTCTTTTTTTTTTTATAGGAATTATAACTTTACCTACTATGGCACTTGGGATGTTTTTAGGAGGATATATCATTAAAAGATTCAGATTGACCCTGATTGGAATCGCCAAGTTTGCGTTATTCACCTCCTCAATATCCTATGTCTTTCTGCTATTAAATTTTCTTCTAATCTGTGAAAACAACCCATATGCTGGCCTGACCTTGACCTACGATGGGTTTGTATATTCCATTTTATCAACAAACTGTGTTGACTCCACTTGAAAGACTGTGTGTGAGAAAAATAGGGTTGAAAACAGGTTCCACTGTTTAGAAAACTAGTAAGAATTTAGTTTAAAAGTAAGTTAATAAGAATTAACAATTTTCAAATTCCTGAAACAATCATTTTTGAGATCTTACAAAATCAGTTTTTATTTCTCCTTTAAAGAAAGACAAGGTCGTGGTAATCATGACATTTTTAGAGTATTTGCAGTGTGTCATAGGTTCTTTTGTTCCCCTTGAACAGATGTATAGTTTATACAGCCAGCAATGCTTGCACATTGCCTCACTGTCTCTCTTGGCCTCGGGTTATGGTTTTAGACCCCAAAATTCTTGGTCTTCCCAGTGCATCTTGGTTAGGTTGTGAGTGTAGATTTAGGTAACTTTCATAGCCATGGTTGTACAAATTTTACCTAGCATTCATTTTAGCAGATACCTATATAAGAGACCGGTTTCTCATACCAAACTGGATTTTCATGTTCTATGAACTGCCAATATACTACTGTCCCCATTGGAATTAGACATCTGTATATTCCAAGCATAACCAAACCTATGTTTCCCCACTGTTACCACATTATGAAAAGTTTTCCTGGCACTTTAGCTGCCCTAAGAGCAGGACCTGGAGTCTCGTGTGTAGCTTATTATCTAACTTTATCAAGCAGCCTAAGTGGTCTCACACACCAGTAACACTCACAGATTTTTCATCAGTTCCTTCTTGGGTAGGAGTTTTCAGACTTGTTAACCTTTTTCTTCGTCTGTATTCCATTCCCTTACCCTAATCTTATTTCCCTCCCCTCTGCGCTGGCTTCCGCATTTTCTACCCTTTCCCCTTGATACCCTTTCTTCTTCCTCCCCCCTTTCCCTTCTGTATTGTATTTTTTCTTTCCTTCCTTCCTTCCCTCTGTCTTTCTCCCTCCATCTCTGTCTCTCTCTGAAATGTCTCTCGTCATATATCTCCAGAATGAACTCAGTGGACTCGCACATAGATGTACCACGTTCCTATTGCAATTCAGACTGCAGTTGTGATCAAAATCAATGGGAGCCCATCTGTGGAAAAAATGGAGTGACATACATTTCACCTTGTCTGGCAGGATGCAAATCTTCTAGTGCTGATAAGAACCTTAATGGTACAGTGAGTATCAGTATTTATTTCCTTGTGTATAACCACACTATAGATTTCACAGTTACTTATCAAATTGGTCTAGAGCTAAGCTCTCCATAGAAAGAAGAATAGGTTCCTATATGATCTTCTGTTGTGAAAGCTGGGAGATTAGCAAATCTCCACATGAAATCTTACTTGGAACACCATCAGATGTTTCTGTTCCTTGAATTCTAATATGAGATTAATTATTTTTCAGTTTTTCATTTTCAAAAGTGAGAACATTGCCTTTTTGGAACCTGGATATATATATATATATATATATATCTGGTTTCTGAAAGCACTTTTCTGACTCAAGTGTCTAATTCTCATCTGTGGGAATTACTTAAACCTCAGATACTAAGGAAGACTCTTAAATCAACAAAAAGACAAACCATACAATGTTTTGCAGACTTTCATGAATCTAACTCTGGGCTCTCTTCCCTTTTTACTCTCTAAGAAACAGTGCTGGCTTCAGACTTAACCTGATTGTCCGAGTTCCACCTGTCAGTTCTGAATTCCCTCCATGCTAGCATTTCTGCCCAGATAATCTAACATCCTTTGCACATATGTTTAGTGTATCCCATACCATCATATATTTTCTTTTCTTCAAAACATCCATTTCCTATGAACTATGAGTGACTCCCAAGTACTAAAATTATTTATGGTACTGCTAATCTATTCCATATCTTAGAAAGATGGGCAATTATGTCCTTTTACCCTTCTCCAACTCAAACATTGGTTACACAACCAGTTATGGTTTTATGTTTTTGAGACAGGATCTTGGTATCTGGCCAAGGGTTACCATTACACACAGGATCCTCTTTCCTCAACTTCTTAAGTGCTGGAATTACAGACATACACTGCCATATCTGGCATGATTTTTGCTTCCCACACCCTGAGGCTCAACTCATTTGCATAGGTAGCTCCCATTTCAGAGTTTGACCCTGAAAATGTCAAATGCCTTTAGTCTCTGGGCAACCCTTCCACAATACATGTGACTGACATGGAGCAAGAGGTTTTAAATAGAGTAAGTAAATGTAGCCCAGAACATAAAAATCAGAGAAAGACAACTATGGAGCAGGAATTACGAACAGTTTTAAACACTTTTCTTCAATTCTTACATAACTTTGACACTAGAAATGAATTATTAGGAGCAAATTAAATTTTCTTGTTCAAAAATAAATACAGAGAATATGTTGTCTTTCAGTTATTAAACAACTGTACTTTCAGAAGTTTTGAAACTGTAAACACTTTTTTCAAGAATGGAAGAAACCTTTTAAAGTATAGTGAAAAATATTTATAACATTTTCATGTTTCTCAAACACATTCTGTAACATTTCAAATCTGTCTTTTAGGTATTCTATGACTGCAGCTGTATCAGAGACTCCGGTTTCCAGACCACCAATCACTCAGCCCATTTGGGTGAATGCCAGAAAAACAAGTGCCAAAAAAAATATTACTTTTATATAACTTTTCAAGTTGTGAGTTCTTTCTTTGTTGCAATGGGAAGCACCTCTTTTATCATGATTGTGTTGAAGTGAGTATACTTTGTTATTTGTGTGTGTGTGTGTGTGTGTGTGTGTGTGTGCATTTCTATTTTTGTGCACATATGTTAGAGGTATATGTGTGTGTGTCAATTTATAGCTCAGATAATTATCTCTGGCATCTGTCCTCAAGTGCCTTTTACTTCTACCATGATGATCAGGTAAACTGCCTCTGACCTTTCATGATCTTGCTGGCCACCTCTCCTATCACAGTTGGGAACACAGGATGAGTTCTGGGGACCCAAACTCAGATGCTTACGTTTTTAAGGCAAGAGATTTACTGACTGGGCCTTCTGTTCCTGTCTGAGAATGGATTGTTATGGCATCTATATTAGTCATGTATGTTGGACTATAAATATGCTTAGTGATGTCTATGATCTTATATTTGAGACCTAAGCTCAGATATTGTCCTACTTTAACTACCTAAGAGCAGATGTTCTCATGATTATTTTATTAGTTCAATACTGTATGTAATAATAATGTTTCATATGCTTCTTTCATTACGAAATCTAGATTTCATGAACTCTCATCTTGCTGACACTTAAAATACAGAATTACTGGCAATTGCCCCAATCGCAAGAGTGTGTGTTTGATTTCACAAGAACTTTTGTGCTCAGTTCCATTATGTCCTAAGAATCACTTAGTGATCTTAATGAAAGAACACTTTTAACTGTAGAAGATGTCTTGAAGACTTCATTTACTTCTTTATTTTTGAGACAGAGTTTCACTATGTTTCCCTGCCTTGTTATACACCCTACTGCTCAAGTGATCTTCCTATCTGAGTTTCCATAATCCCCGGGATTGAGAAAGAGCAACCATGTCTTTGGAATAGGGCTCTTAAACCTCAATAACTGGTATCTGTTCTACAAAGATTAAGGATCAGTCACATATCAAGAAAGCTGGGGTTCAAAGTGATAATACATTTTGGATCCTAACAACACATCATGTGAAGACCTGTAATCACTTAGCAAACAAGGAAATGGAGGCAAGATAAGTTAAGCGGTTTCTTCCACTTGGCTGAATGACATACCTACTTAGCCCTCTGAATAAATAAGCATCAAGTAGTATAAGGCAATGGAAAACTCAATCATTGATTCAGTATTTTAGTAAAAATATTTAATCAGAAGTTACATTATACACACACATTGTTCCACGTAATTTCATTGTCCTCAATATGGATTAGATTTTACCAGATGTAGGAGTGTCACAAGCTCAATAAACACAGAGAGTTGGAATTATGGAAATGACTTTGTAGATATAAGAACATATTTCTTTTTCATAAACATGTTGTTTAAGATTTATTTTACATTTTACTTATGTATATTTGTGTTTCTGTGTGTAGATATCTTTGTGTGAATGAAGATGCCTGAAGAGGTCAGAAGAGGGTGTTGCATTCCTTGAAGCTAAAATTACAAGTGGTTGTGAGCTATGCAGTGTGGATGCTGGGAACTGAGAGCTGGTCTTCCTCAGGAAGAGCAAGGACTCTTAATTCTATGTCACTTCTTAAGCCCTGAATGAGTGTGTTACCGAGCATGGTGATAACATGTTCTCTACCTTTAATGTAACAATTTACACAGGAGAGTCCAGAATACACAACTTTCTCAAGTCTCCTGTCTATGTTAAGCAATTTGGGTACCACATTAGTAAACTTCTCTGTTAGCATCAATAACAGAAATAAGGAAGCAGAGTGTATGCTAAGACCTATGTCTAGATGTATGCATCAGGTCTTTTCCCAGAGCCTGGGCTGAATGGTCCATAGAAAAATCAATGTCTTTGTAGACATAATAAACCTTACTGCAGATATTCTCACAGCATTTTTACAACATAAAACATAAAAATGCAACCTAGTTTGGTTAGTCACATCTGAAATTTCAGTATTTTAAGAGGCTGAAGCAGGAGGGTTGCTGTGAGTTCAAGACCAGCCTGGGCTACAAAGTCTCAAAAATAATTTTTTTAATTAAGTAAAATGTTTACTGGACTCATAGCACAGTAAATCAGTGAATTCGAGTAATTATTATCATAGCGCTAGTTGTGTCTCCTAAAGATTGGGATGATACATTTATAACACATGTGTCATTCCTTTGGGGGTTTTCATCTAACAATAAAAAAAAAAATAACACCAACAAGCATTTCAAGGTTAAATTTGACTCAGCATTTTGAAGACATTTAAATGTTTCTTTGCTTTTGTCTTATTGCAGGACTGTCCAACCTGAATTGAAATCACTTGCAATGGGTTTCCATTCACTGGTTATCCGTGCACTAGGTATGGTAAATAATGTCAATTTTAGGTAATAAATATTCATGCTAAGCTTAAAAACTGAACATAAAAGTTCCTGTTTCAAGGAAACTTTAAAGATTTAAAAATAATTTCTATTTCTAGAATTTGAGTAGGCAACAGCAAAGTTGAAGCAAGAGCAAGGACTCTTCCTGTCTGTAGGATGTTAGCACAGGGATTGGAGTTCCTATAGAGTTCTTTCCATTGCACTGAGGGGTGCTTCTTTCGGGCAGGCAGAATGATGTTAACAAAACATTTCAAATGGCATATTCTAAAGGTCTTTGAAGTGTTTGAAGACGTTTATCTATCTAAACATATCTCTATATGATCTTGAAAGCATAGCTAGTATCTCTATAACTTTGTTATAAATGACCATTAACCTATATTTCTTGGTTATCCTAAATAGTTTAAAATAATAGCTTTCAAAATCTAGAATTTTACCTTACATTTTTAAATGAACTGCATAGGTGTAATACCTTAGACAAGAGTAGAAACACACACGCACGCATGCATGCACACACACACACACACACAGATACATACGTAAACTTTAAATTTTGCATCAATATACTATATTCTCCTTAGTGATAACAAACATCCATAAGCCATCAAATAACCAAAGATCACCCAAATCTCCCAACTCTTGGTAATGTTGGCACCATTTTCTCTAGACTATTTTCTGTTGTCTGGACACAAAGGCATTTTTTAAGGTCCCTGAGAAAAACTGATGGCCAAGTCTTGTGAAGATCAGAGGTAACCTGTCAAGTTTCAGGAGGTCTCCCTTGATTAATCCTAATCCTTATTATTCCTGAAGTAATTCACAGCCTCTTATCTCCTGTGTGAACAAAACTCCAAAGTGTTTTTAACTTCCACTTGACAAATACATTTTTTACTTCTTTTAAAAAGCTATGATAGCTCTAAATTATCTTGATGGGTTCAATTTTGAAGTCCAGTTCATAATCTCATGTCTCTCAGCAAATGCCTTTTGCTCAAAAGCATTAAAAAAAATCAGAATCAACACAACACTCTATAGGATCCCTGTGTATTTCCATCTTTACAGTCTCTAAAGAAATTTCTTTTTAAACTTTTATTTCTTTCTGTGGGTTTCTGTACCCATTTTCTTTTCTTCCTTAAGCCTACACACACTGTGAAATGCACTGGAACCTGTTTACAGGTTTTTCTGTTTGTATTTTTTTTTCTGCTTACTTTTAGCCTTTTTGTCTGCATGAGCAAAAAACATGTTAAGCAGTGAGACTAGGACCCCCCTGCAGCTTTGGTAGCTGGCTTGGGCTCAGGTCAGGAAATCCAAGCCTAAAGCTTGCTGATGGTAGGAGGTTCATGACCAAAAAGTGCATTAAGCCTTCCTAACTATGGAAGCTGGTACCTATGTTGCTGCAACCATTCATTTTTGCTCGTTTTGTTTTTGTAAATGGAGTTTGCCATTTGTCTAGTTAATAAAAACCTAAAGTCAGATATAGAGAAAAATGCCGAGAGATTGGAGAAAAGAAAGAAGAAGCCACAATCAGCCTTTCCTCCTCAGCAGACAAGAGAGCAAGTCCCTGTTGCTCCCTGCTTATATCCTCTCTCCATCCAGCCATCTCCTTCCTCTCTGTCTGTATGGACCTCCAGACCTTTATGGTTAGCTGGTAGCAAGCTCCATTTTCTGACCTTCAGAAAAGCTTTATTTGTACAGGCAAGATATCACAACGTATATTCCCCATTTTGTCTAAAAATAAAAAGGTTGTAACTAATACCAGAAAAACTATATGCAATAAGTATATATAATATATACAGGCAATAAGTACATTAACAATGTCTATTCCATTAGCATTTGACAAATTCAGAGAAAATACTCCATTATCTATTCCTTCTTGATGAATCCAAAGTCTCGTATCTAATTTACTTTCTATTCTAATTTGCATTGTCAAATTATCTCTTATTGTCTTTCAAACCTATTACCCTTAGCACATCTTTATTGAGTCTCTTTACTGAGTCTTGTAAACATGGGAAATTATAACTACACTAGCTAGTCTTCAACTTCCTCAGAGACCTAAGAAAGAAATAATATTAACTGAGGAAACAGGAATTTTGAACAAGGGACTTCCAAATGTGAAAAATGACAGAAACAGCTGACTGCCTGGATAGTCACCCAAGATTGTTGTGCATCCATCACTGGCCCATAGGCCTAGCATATCTGACAGACATGTCTGTGAACTAGGATATTCTGAAGGACTGGACAGCTTTGTCTTGGCAAGTTTTGAAGTCGCCTTTTTGGTGTCCTGTTTGTTCATTTGGACAGTATACTGTCAGCAGTTGAGGCAAGGTAACTTTCTTGCCTGGTGCCTTACTTTTGCCATAAATAAAGTAAACTCCATGTGGAGGTTTTTTTTTTTTAATGCCCATCATCTTCTCCTATGTAGATTGTTACTGCCAGGAGCAGACATGTCTCATTGTCATAAAAATAGAACCTATGTTATTAAAACATGTTAAATGCCATATTCTATAGATCTCTGAAGTGTTTAAAGATGATCTGTCTTTATAAAGTATGTTTGACCTTATAAATATACCTAATGTGACTATGGATTCTAATGTAACAGTTGATTTAATACTAAACTATATTTCCTTATTATCCTATATAGTTGATAATAATAACTTTCAAGAATTAGAAATCAGTATTACATTATTAAATGTGCTGTATAGGTGCAATACATTGAACAATATTAGAAACATATGTTATGAGATTATCTCTAAGTCAAAAACAAAACATTAGGCAGATGGTTATTAAAAATAATGACAGGCACACACTGCGCAATAAACTTTAACTTGCATCTGCTCAGTGTTTTTATTAGTTTAGTTTAGTATAAAGGCCCATTAATCAATTCATTAGATTGGTCATTTTGTTCATTTGAATTACACAATAGGATTTTATAAGCAGTTGGTTTTGTTGTTCCTGATTCTCTCTCTCTCTCTCTCTCTCTCTCTCTCTCTCTCTCTCTCTCTTACACACACACACACACACACACACACACACACACACACACACACCAGTAGTCTGAATATTGGATTCTCCCATAATCCTGTATAATTTACTGTTCACAATCTGCCCAAATTAGAGCTATGTGATACACTTTTTATAAACTATTTGGGAATGTCAGGTGGTCCCTAAAGAAAACTGACATTAAACTATAAAATATGAAAATTCATATAAAGACACAGCAAGCTTAACAAACATCTTGAAAATAAACTCAAGTTGTAATTAAATTCTGTACTTTCTCAAACATGACCAAGAAAAGAGTTACAAGGAGAAATGCCCCATCAACAGGAAAAAAACTATTAAGGGAAAGCTCAGAAAAGCTACACAGTATCATTGCACTCTACATATGTGCAAAATTCAGCTGTGCCAGCAATCACAACAGCATCTAGGACTGAGGTTTTCCAAGAGGTATGGGGAACCTGCCCAAAAACATCTGGTCTGTACCAACAGCTTGCTGTCTTCAATACAGGCCTTCATGATGTCAGTCACATTCAGCACTGACAGGTAGGGCTATGATTGGTGATGTGGGATTGAATCCATATGCATATTGAGTTTCAATTCATTGCCAAGAATTTAAGCAAGTTGTTGCATGGATGGGAGATGACCAGATTTCAGCTTATACCATATCCGCACATCATTTAACATTATTTCAACTGTACCTGTTGACATACACTGGTTCTCAATCATGGTGGTCAAGAAGAAACCATCATATATGCATAAATGTCATTTTCTTGGCCCCATTGCCAGATGCCAAAAAAGAAAGAAAAAAAAAAAAAAAAAAACAGGACCCTTGCCAACAATTAATAAGCCTGTTGAGAGTAGTTTGAAGATTTACAGGAAAGGTGCCACACATCTACAAATTGGTTGAGGAAGGTAATTCTCTCCTTCAATGTGGATGTCTGGATACCACTGGCTAATAACCCCATGTACTCAAACACCTGCCTGTACCCTCAGGGTACATAAATCTGAAACTTGAGCAGTGGTCCCATGGCGTACTGAATCTTTAACATCTTGCTAGGCATGCTGCCCAGGGTGGTGACATCCTTCCTGTAGGCCACTGCCAATGCTGGTGCCAGAAGAAGCAGTAGAAGCCTCATCTTAGTCAAGATGTCTGCTCTGGCTGCCTTCACTCCAAGCTGACAGCTGGCTCACCTAACTCAGTAGGTAGAGCATTAGACTCTTAATCTCAGATACATGGGTTCATCCCCCACATTGGGCACCAAAATGTAAATGGAGTTCTTAAAATTGGCCTGATAAATAAAAACCCAGAATCAGATATAGAGGCAAATGCTGAGAGATCAGAGGGAAGAAGGCGCAAGCCACTGCCACACCTTACCTCCTTAGCATCTCCAGCAGAGCCACTGCCACACCTTACCTCCTTAGCACTCCAGCAGAGCCGCTGCCACACCTTACCTCCTTAGCACTCCAGCAGACAAGAGAGTGAGTTCCTGTCTGCCTGCTTACATCCTTCCACCCAGCCATTCTCCTTCCTGTTGGTCGGTACAGACCTTCAGACCTCTATGGTTAGCTAATGGCAAGCTCCATCCTCTGACCTTCAGACAGGCTTTATTTGTATAAGCAAGATAGTAACAGTTTTTACTTAGCTCGTAATTTCTAGTTTCTATTCAGCATTGGCAGCTGAACAGTAGTACCTCTTAAAGGAGCCATTTTCTCTTCCTTCCCCCTCTTCCTTCCTTCCTTCCTTCCTTCCTTCCTTCCTTCCTTCCTTCCTTCTTTCCTTCCTTCCTTCCTTTCTTCTGTCAGCTTTCTTAGTCCCTACATGGAAATTTGAGCACACACTGGTATGCCAAAATGTTTTTGGTTGTATGTTTTACTCTTTTTATTCTTTGTCTCTTTTGGGTAGCTGCCACCACCCAGTTCCCAAATAAATACACCCAGAGGCTCATTCTCATTTATAAATGCCCAGCCTTAGCTTTCCTGGCTCTTCTTAAATGATCCCATCTATCCGACTACTAAAGTCTTGCAATCAGAAGACACAAAAATAAAATTTATCTGCAATGGCCTACATTGAACTGTTCAGAAAACTTCAAAAGATATTTAAACATGTATAAAACCAGTGGGAAAATACCAGATCAAGGAATCAGATGCCAGCAAAAAGAGCAGATAGAGTCTGAACCTAGAAGCTCAACATCCCATGGTAGGAGATGAGTGGTCCATAATGTTGGACCTCCACTTCTCCGGCAAAAGGGTCCTGGTACAACAATTCCACTTTTAGTTTTATTTTTTCACCTTTGAACATTTTAAATTTTACCTATTAGTTTGGCTTATTAGTTTTATTTACGTGCAAGTGTGCATGCATGGTTTTTTGCATATGCACCACTTGCATGTAGAGCTCAGAAGAGGGAATCAGATCCCCTGAAATTGGAATTACAGGCAGTGGCTTCCCTGCTGTAGATGCTGGGAACTGAACAGAGATACTTTCAAAAGCAGTAAGCACTCTAAACCATTGACCCATCTCTCCAGCCTCCCTCATTCCAGACTTTTAGTTTTTTAAAAACATGAATAAGCTCCTGCCTCTATAGGATTTTGGTAAGTGCTATTTCCACTAGTCATAAAGTTAAAATTCTACTCTAATTGTTGCAGATAATTCTGATTTAAAAAAATGATGTGACCATACAATACTCTTTTTCACTAACTAGATTTCAGCTAATTGGTGTTGTAAGAGCAGAGTTTACAGACATTTAGACATCCTTCTTTCTTATGTGTGTTGGAAGGGTAGAGATAGACAAAAGATGTTTATGATATTATAACCCAGTATGATATTTTGAAAAATATACTAATATTAATTCTTGCATGTATCAAAACAGAAACAACAAGTTTGTCCTAGAAGGTTTACAACTGTTACTTATTTCATATTGTATCAATGTGATACACCTCCTACATAAAATAGAAGTATGTATCTTGGCTTGATAGCTTTTCTTCTCATGTTGTAGGAGGAATTCTAGCTCCCATCTATTATGGGGCATTCATTGACAAAACATGTATGAAGTGGTCTGTCACCAGCTGTGGAACACGAGGTGCTTGTAGGGTATATAACTCTACATTGTTTGGGTGAGTTGTCATAAATATACTTCATTAATTGATTTTTATCTTTTGACTATGCTAATTGATAAATGGTGTCACTTTATTTATTTATTTATTTTTAGTTTTCTTTAACCTGTGTTTACCTGTGTGTAGTGCCAGTAGAGGTTACATGAAGTTGGATTCTCTAGAACTGAAATTGTAGATGTTTGTGAGCCAGCATGTGAATGCTATTCACATGCATGTTCCAGTATGTTCTCTGCCAGAGTAGTCAGTGCTCTTGATCTCTAAGTAATCTCTTTAGCCCCACATAGTATTATTTTCATTGCAATAATAAATTAACAATGTTATCACTAAGCAACCCTTACTTCACATTCAGTATTGTATCAGGCAATCTAATTTTAATGCTAGTAGAAGCAATAATAAATTTATATTTATACCTTTACCTTAAGGACAAAGATAGGAAGGTTCAAGGATAATGAATGATGTGTCCAAAGTCATGCAGTTTGAAGTAAAAGAGATATATTTTTGCTCAATTATGGTTTTATTTCTAAAACCTGTGCTCATACCCCAAATATCATTGGCTTTGCATTCTTAAGCAGGACATAAAGTGTGAAAAGGGAGAATATTCATGTTCTATTCATGGGGAGAGAAGACAACTTAATGATAATTTGAAAGAACAAATTGAATCAATATTCTTTAGAAAAGAATAAGTTGCAAATTTAAATATTGATTAATTGTAAAATAGATATTACTCAAAGTAGATTTTTTTTTAAAAATCGATTTTGGATATGTGAATATATTTGTGTAATGACCCAACTCCTCAAAAGTAAGAGAAAATGTTAAAGTACTTTTAGAACTCTACATAACAAAAAAAAATTAATTTAGGTAACACCTAAAGACAAATTACAAATTGAAAGAAGAAACCGAATCTAACAGTCACCAGGAAGTTTTCTAGATCTATTGAGCTCCCCAAAAGAGCAAAATACAAATGCACACTTTAAAGATGCAGAACCACAGAGGCTACCTTCCCTTGCAAATGGATCTAAAACGGTGCACACTGGAGGATTGTATGTCTCCCTTATTCTAGTTCCTAAGACACCATCAGTTTGTCTCCCAAACCCTTTTGCCACCAACCACAAATGAGAGTTCCTGTTGCAAATCATTGCCAATAGTATTGGTGTCATGGGTGGAGTTGGTATCATGATGGTGTTGATATATGATGGTATTGGTGTCATGGTGGTGGTGTTGCCAAGGTAGACCTGGAGTCATGATGGAGTTGGTGCCACAGTGAGTAGAAGAATGGTACTAGTATCATGTCTCCATTCAGATAATCTCAACATTCTGACACACCAATGACGAGGGTTAAAGACTATTCATTCTCTTCAAACTACGGTTAGTATTTCCTCTCACGTTAAGTGTTTCTTGTTCTTTTCTTGAGAATTAGACATGAAGTTCTATGGTAAAGAGACTACTCTAGTTTTTAGGGTGGGAGTATGCTTTTCTGTTATCCGATGCTTAAGTCTCAGTGTCAGTGGTCCTGGATATCTGGACTGTGAAACCCAAATGTATTTCTTGGTACTTTCTCCTTTTATTGAGTGGGATGTGATGGCTTGTGGGAGGGATCTGAATATTCCCCTCTTCAATCAGCTTGAGTTTATTTTCTATGTCTTGAAAATTCTTTAGAAATAGTTTCAAACTCTTTATGGCCCAATGGAAAAAAATTCCCTGGAAATATTTGTTTTATGCTTTTATAATTTTTTTGTTTTTATATATAATTTCACTTGTTGCATTCAAGGTCTGCATATTGGAGATAAATGCTATATCACATACTATAAAATAATATTTGTCCCATTTTTCCCTAGAACTGTCTACTTGGGTTTGAACACATCTTTAAAAACTCCAGCACTTCTTTTATATCTTGTATTAATTTATGTCATGAAGAAAAAATATGAAAGAAAAGATAGCAAGACATTGGAAAATGATGGAAAAGTTACAGATGAAGGAAACCAAGAACCCTTAAATAAAAATGGATACCATTCTGTACCTCTTGGTACATCACACAATGAAACACCTTTTTAAAGAAAGAAAAACATACATCTTCCAAACAGTTTCCTGGTTCTTTCATTGAAGATATCCACGCTTTACATACAATGAATAATGGATGATCTATGACTTTGTAATAAAAAGAAGCTATAAATCAAAATGAATAGGAGCATCCTTTTCTGGACAAAGCTGTGTATTTGAGGCTAGGATTGGAATGTATAATCTGTACAAATTTAAAGCATCAGAGTGAGTTAGTTTACAATAGAAAAGCAAGTATTCGCTTAAACATTCATAACTCGTAAAACAAATGGCTAGGATTTGCAGAAGGGTAAAGGAAGGAGATAAACTGGTTGACAGTATAAGGAGAAATACCTGATAGCTTTGAAAATAAAAGTCTGAATAGTTCTATTCATGCCTGAAGCCCGCTGATGGACTTCACAACATAACCTCTTCTGTTATCCATGTTAACTTGTGTACTTTGCAGAATAATTAATTTGTAATTGCATTTCACAGCATACTCATCTTCAAAACGGAGATATTAAAAAATTACAAACCGTGGTATTCAGAAAACCTAACACAGAATGCATTTTAAGAGCCATGGAAATGTTTGGAAAATTCCACAGTGACTAAAGGAAAGAAAGACCATTGAATAAATGAGCCTTTACTTCTCATGTCAGCTCTCTGAGATGAGTGTATGTCAGCCAAAATGTGTATCAGAGAACATCAGAGTTCTACTATTTACCAATGCTGTATTTGCCTGGTTTTCTTGTTTTGGATGTAATACATACACATGTATATTCATGTAAATAATCACTGAAATGAAGATATGCCCTAGACTGAATAAGACAAACAACTTGTGATATTGAATTTTGAAATGAGATTGGATGTAGTGTGATGGATGGTAGAGGTTGCACTTGCTTTATTGTTTAAAATGTTAAAACACTTTTTGCATTAAAATTGACAATTACATCAATATGGGAAGAAGAGACACATTGAACCTGAATTGGGGCCATAATATAGAACCTTAAAGTTTTCTCCCAGGGATATACGTCCTCCAGCAAGTCCCCAACTCCAAAAGTTCCACAAAATCCTGCACAATACCCACCACTGGATTACAAATGTTCAAACAAATGAGGTGTGGGAAATAATGTTTAAGCAAACAGTCACGCATGCATATATATAGCTCTATAGATATATACTCATATAGTGCATATAGTCACACACACTGTATGACTATTTGCATATATACTCATATTTTATACATATGAGATAAGCTATAATACTACTCCAGAGATTTTGATTTAAAACATCTCTTACATAGTCTGCTATCCATTATGTGACAGGAGATTTTAACAGAAGCCAGTATACCAAAGTCATGCAACATTAATCTTGCTAGTAGCTGAGAACTGGATTTTAAACATGGTAATTCATCCTTCCACTGTGGGGCCGAGAACAGATTTCTTAAGCACACACAGAAATTTGGGGGAAAACCCACCAGCTAGGTCAGGGAGCTTTGCCCTCTTCCAGGAAAAACAATTTTTTTTTTAATTTGTTTTCTTAGGTCAAGGACAATTTTATTAGAGTTTTAAAAAGTAAACCGAGGGCAGGAAAGCTGTAAACCTCAGTGTCTGTCTGAAGAAGGAAGATGGGGGAGAGGAAAAGAGATAAACAGGATGTTTAAAAGTAGCCACATGGGGGTCAAAGAGATGTTGGGAACCTTTAGAGAGGAAGGAAGAAATGGCCCAGCCTGTCCTTGAACATGGAACTCACAACAACACTGCCATAGTTCACTTCCTGCTGCTGTGATAACACACTAACCAAAAGTAACTTGGGAAAAGAAGTTTGTTTCAGCTTTTAAGCTGTAGCCCATAGCTGAGGGTATTCATGGCAGGGACTCCAGGCCAGAACCTAGACGCAAGGACTGAAACAGAGACCATGAAAAACACTATTAACGGTCTTGATCTCCATGGCTTGTTCACCCTACTTTCTTGGATGCCGCAGGACTACATGCCCAGCTGGGGCACCACCCACAATGGATTTGGTCCTCCCATAGCAATCATTAATCAGAGGAGTGTTCTACATCTAGCCTACAGTCCAATCTCATTGGGTCTCTTTCTTTCTTCCTTCCTTCCTTCCTTCCTTTCTTTCTTATTTTACATGTCGATCCCAGTTCCCCCTCCCTCCCTCTTACCCTCTCTGCCCCCTCACATTCACCTTCCCCTCCCATCCCCCCATCCCAATTTCACATGTAGGGCAATGCCATCCAGGTGGGGTCATGTAAATCTGTCAAGTAGGGACAGATTGAAGTAGGGACTAGGACTAACAATTAATAAATGGGACCTCTTCAAACTTAGAAGCTTCTATAAGGCAAAGGACACAGTGGACAAGACCAAATGGCAGCCCACATACTGGGAAAAGATTTCACCAATCCTACATCCGACAAAGGGCTGCTCTTCAAAATATACAAAGAACTCAAAAAACTAGTCAACAAAACACCAAATAACCCTATTTAAAAATGGGATACAGAACTAAATAGAGAATTCTCAAAAGAGAAAATCAAAAAGGCTGAAAGACACTTAAGAAAATGCTCAACATCCTTAGCTATCAGGGAAATGCAAATCAAAACAACTTTGAGATACCATCTTACTCCTGCCAGAATAGCTAAAATTAGAAACACCAATGACAACTTATGCTGGAGAGGATGTGGAGAAAGGGGAACACTCCTCCACTGCTGGTGGGTGTGCAAACTCGTACAGCCATTTTGGAGATCAGTATGGTGGTTCCTCAGGAAAATGGGAATTAGTTTACCGCAGGACTCGGCAATCCCCCTCTTAGGTATCTACCCAAATGATCCACATCCATGCAACAAAGACATGTGTTCAACTATGTCTATAGCAGCTTTATTTGTAATAGCAAGAACCTACAAGCAACCTAGATGCCCCTCAACTGAAGAATGGGGTCATTTTCTTGATGGAGATTCTGTCTGCAAGATATCGCCAGCTAATATCAATTGACAGAAGTCTAATAAGGACAGGACGGTTATTAGACTCTCACTTGAATTTCCGTCTGCCCCTCCTGCCTACCACAGCTGTCTTCACTTCTGCTTTAGTTTCAAAATGTCTTGGGAAATGCTGAACTACAATAGTGGGTGTAATGTTACCTAAAGGAAAGATTCCATCCATCATCTCTGGGAAATCATCAATCTTTCTAAACTGAACCTTTTGATGACATGGTTCTTTTGAGGGACCCCATGTTCGGACAACCTTTTATCCATGCTCCCGTAAGGTAAGAAAGCCCACTGATCTCGTTGGTTCACCAAGATAGACAGTGGGATCGTTGTCCAATCTTGGGGAAATAGATATTTGTCCACATTGCCTCAGAAAAATTATCCCTGTATGATGTCTGTTAAGAGTCCACAAGGGTGTGGTTACGTTTGGGAGAGATCACATGATGAGTCAGGAAGCTAGAGCAACCAAGGGGCCAGGCTTGCTATCTGTCTCAAGCCCAGTCTCCCTGGAAATAACTCAGTTCTCTAAAAAGGAACAACAACCACGGTGACCTTGATGAAGCCACAGCTCTCCACAGCACAACCTTGAAAATTAAGGTATGAACATATATGACACCCACCCACACAATCTCCATCCAAATACAGCACTTCCCAACTAAGCAGAGGTTCTAGTTGCCTTATGTATCTATATCAAGATTTTAGTTAGCTGCCTGCCCAGTAACATCTGCTCATTGCTATGATCAAGACAAATTAAAACTTGCATTTATCCAACAACTTTGCTGTTCTAGGACATGATTGAGAAATTCTCACTAAAAGCAGAAGTCTCCTTTTATTACACTTTTGTAACAGACATCTTGCCATTATTATGAATTTGAAGCTCAATTTGAAGAATTTGAGAATATACTGTGATGCTAAAATTAACCCCTCTGTTTTATGCTAGGAATCCATCTTGGTATCTGCTAGCCACTTGTCTCTGACCCTAGTCCCTGGAAGAAAAAGTCCCAGTAATGCTGACTCAGTGGATCCTTCTATCCATAAATGTATAGCTGTGGCCATCTACTTCATTGTTCTTATCTTTTATTTTTTAAATTTGAAACAAGTTTGTTTTACATGTCAATCCCAGTTCCCTCTCCCTCTCCTCCTCCTCTGCCCCACCCCACCCCAACCCCAATCCTATCCCTTTTCTGATCACCAAGGAAGGTGAGGCCTTCCATTGGGGTTCTTCAGAGTCTGTTACATCATTTCAAACAAGGCCTAGGCCTTCCTCTATGTGTCTAGGCTGAGAGAGTGTCCCTCTATGTGGAATGGGCTCCCAAAGTCCATTCATATACTAGGGATAAATACTGATCCATTACCATAGGCCCCGTAGACTTCCCAGCCCTCCTTACTAAAACCCACATTAAAGAGTTCTGGGTCAGCCCTATGCTGGTTTCCCAGCTATCAGACAGGGGTCCATGAGCTCCCCCTTATTCAGATCAGCTGTCTCTGGGAGTTTCTCCAGTCTGGTCTTGACCCTTTTTCTTATCACTCCTCCCTATCTGTAATTGGATTCCAGGAGTTCGGTTCAGTGTTTAGCTGTGGATGTCTGCTTCCATCAGCTACTAGATGAGGACTCTAGAATGGCATGTAAGGTAGTCATCAATCTCATTATCTGGGAAGGGTATTTAAGGTAGCCTCTCCTCTATTGATTAGATTGTTAGTTGGGGGTCATCATTGTTGATCTCTGACCATTTCCCAATGCCATATTTCTCTTTAATCCTATAATGGCTCCCTCTATTATGGCATCTCTTTTCTTGCTCTCCTCTATTCTTTCCTTGACTCAGTCTCCCTGTTCCCTCATGTCCTCTTCTCCCCTCCTCTTCTCCCCTTCTCTTTTTCTTAATTCCCTCTCCCCTCCCCCATGCTCCCAATTTACTCAGGATATCTTGTCCCTTCCCCTTTTCCAGGGGACCATGTGTCCCTTTCTCCTTTCTGGGGGACCATGTATGTCTCTCATAGGGTCCTATTTGTTTCCTGGCTTTTCTGGTGGTACGGATTGTAGGCTGGTAATCTTTTGCTCTGTGTCTAAAATCCAGATATGAGTGAGTACATACCATGTTTATCTTTTTGTGTCTGCGTTATCTTACTCAGGATGGTTTCCTCTAGTTCCATCCATTTGCCTGCATATTTCAAGATTCCAGTGGTATTTTCCTCTGAGTAGTACTCCATTGTGTAAATGTACCACATTTTCTCCATCCATTCTTCAGTTGAGTGGCATTTACATTGTTTTCAGGTTCTGTCTATTACAAATTATGCTACTATGAACATAGTTGAACATCTTTCCTTGTTATATGAATGTTCATCCTTTGAGTATATGCTTAAGAGTGGAATTTGCTGGATCTTATGGTAGACTGATTCCCATTTTCCTGAGGAACCACTATACTGATTTCCAAAGTGTCTGTACAAGTTTGCACTCCCACCAGCAGTGAGGAGTGTACCCCTTTCTCCACATCCTCTCCAGCATAAATTGTCTTTGGTGTTTTTGATTTTAGCCATTCTGACAGGAATAAGATGGTATCTCAAAGTTGTTTTGATTTGCATTTCCTTGATGGCTAAGGTTGTTGAGCAATTTCAGCCCTCTGTCAAATGTGGGGTTTTGTTGACTGTGTCCTTTGCCTTACAGAAGCTTTTCAATTTCAGGAGAGCCCATTTATTAATTATCAATCTCAGTGTCTGTGATACTGGTGTTATGTTCAGGAAGTGGTCTCCTTTACCAATTCATTCAAGGGTATCTCCAACTTTCTCTCGTAAGAGGTTCAGTGTGGCTGGATTTATGTTAAGATCTTTGATCCATTTGGACTTAAGTTTTGTGCATGGTGATAGATATGGTTCTATTTGCAGTCTTCTACAAGTCAGCATCCAGTTATGCCAGCACCGTTTGTTGAAGATGCTTTCTTTT